GCATTTTTAATATCTTCAAAGTACCAGATTCTACTTGACCAAAAATACAAAGGAAAGTAAAGCATGCCACTAGGGAATCCAACTCTGGTGGGAGAGATGGATATGCAAACAAGTGGGTATAATAGATAAGTAAGCAGTATGAGAACCTTTAAGAGGAGGATCAGGGACATCATTTTGTAGGAAGTGATGTCTTAGTGGTCTTGAAAGGGGAGTAGGTGGGAAAGGGGAAGCAGAAGTATTTGAGATAAGTACATGAGGGTACCATGTTCAAGGAGCTGTAGCTAGTTCATTATGGCTGGAGGATAAGATATTTGCTAATAGAAGTAGGAGAATAAGGTTGCACTGCCTGCTAGGCAGGGACCAGTACATAAAGGACCAGTGCATGTCAGTTAAGGAGAATGAATTTAACTCTGAAGATTCTGAGCAGATCAAATTGCATTTTAGAGACATGGCTCTGGTGAGTTTGGAGAAGTAATTGAAAGGAACAAGACTGGGGGTGGTAGTGATGCTGTTGCAGTACTGTTGATGAGCAACAGTGCTGTACTAAGGCTGTACTAAGGCAGGGGGATGGAGAGAATGGTTGGGCTTGAGGGCCACTGAGAGAGCTGTCAGAATGATGAATGATTTAGTATGAAGTTTAAGAGAGGAAGAGGAACCAAAGATGACCCCCAGGTTTCTTTTGTTGGCAGCTTGAGTGCATGGTAGCCATTTATTGTGCTTGGGAATCCAGGAGGAGTTATAATTTGTTATGATTTTGGTGTTCAGAAAAAGGAGTTAAAGCTGACAGAGGAGCTAGAAATGATGCATCCGGTTTTGGACATTTTCACATTGAGGTACCCAAGAAACGTCCAAATGGAGATATTGAGGCACTTGGATAAATTAGTGGGAAACTCAGTAAAGTTGTCAGGTTAGAGGGAGTGATTGGGTTATTAGTATTTGGGGAGCAGTTGGAATCATGGGCCACAGAGAGATAAAGAAAAAAAGCAGAGGATTGAAGATTCGAAATTCAGAAGATCAGCATTTAAGGAAATGGCAGAGATGGGGAGAGAATGGAGTCTTGGAAGCTGGAAGTGGAGAGTATTCAGGTGGAACTCATCAGTGTCTGTTGTTTAGAGAGTGAAAGATGAGATGTGAAAGTGTTCATTGGATTTACCAATAAGGAGTGCAGCTGGTAACCACTGGTGAGGGCAGTGTCAAGTGGAATGGTGGGCATAAGCCATATTAGGTAGGTTGAGCATAAAGGTGGGGATAGCAGATGCTCAGTGTTCTTGGGAGAAGTTTGACTTTGAAAAAAAGGGGAGGACAACAACTAAAGTAGTAAGATCAAGGTGGGAAGTGTTTTCTTTTTCTTTTTTTTTTGAGTCAGAGTCTCACTCTGTCGCCCAGACTGGAGTGAAGTGGCAAGATGATGGCTACCATAGCCTAAGTCCTGAGCTCAGGCGATCTTTCTGCCTTAGCCTGCCATGTAGCTGGGACTACAGGTGTGTACCACCATGCCAACTAAGCTTTTGATTTATTGTAGAAATAAAGTCTTGCCATGTTGCCCTGGCTGGTCTCAAACTCCACTTGCCTTGGCCTCCCAAAGTGCTGGGATTATAGGCATGAGCCACCATGCCTGGCTGGGAAGTGTTTTCAGATTGACAATAAATGCCATAAAATATATGAATATATTGAAAGTAAGAGCATTATAAAGGAGGGCATTAATCTCATTTGGAAGATTGATGGAGTGCTGTGGTTCATAGAAGAGTTTTTAAAAAAACACCAGACTCTTAAGCCGGGCTCGGTGGCTCAGCCTGTAATCCTGCGCTTTGGGAGGCTGAAGTGAGTGGATTGTCTGAGCCC